AAGCCAACTTGCCACACAAATTCTGGGGCGAGTGTATTTGACTGCCACTCATCTTCTAAACCGAACTCCTACACCTATTGTACATGACAAATCACCTTATGAGGTCCTATACCAGGCTACTCCATCCTATACACATCTAAGAGTGTTCGGCTGCTTATGCTATGCAGCTACTCTTAAGCGAAACAGAACCAAATTTGATCCTAGAGCCTCACCTTGCATCCTCATTGGCCATCCTTATGGTATGAAGGCTTATAAACTTTATAATCTTCATACCAATACCACTTTCAACTCTAGAGATGTTATTTTCCATGAAAACATCTTTCCTTTCAGACATCCTTCCTTCCTTCATTCATTATCCAGCTTTGAATGTCACTTACAGCCAACTCAATCTCTCTTTTCCCCTCAGCACATTTCTAACATTGATTCCTCTTTTCCACCTTTGGACTTCACTTCCACTGGAAATTCTCCTTCATTTCATAGTACACCTGATCATCTTACTGATATATCTCTAAATTCTAATTTTTCTCCTTCCCCTGATACATCTCCTCCTATTGTTTCACACTCTCCCACCCCTTACCTATTTCGAAAATCAAACAGAACTCCTAAATTTCCTTCTTATCTCCATGATTATCACTGTCATCTAGCCTCTCAAGTTCCCTCTCCTCAGTCAGATTCTATGGATAAAGGTTCTGCATCAGGTAAGAATTATCATTTGTCTGATCATTTGAATTATGATAACCTTTCTCCTGTCCATAGGCAATATTCCTTGGCCCTGTCTACTGTTTTTGAGCCTCGGTCCTATGGTAAAGCTTCTAAGTTCCCTAAATGGTGTCATGCCATGGGTTTGGAATATCAGGCTCTAGTTTCGAATCATACTTGGGATGTGGTTCAACTCCCAGCCACTAAGAAACCTATAGCATGTAAATGGGTTTTCAAGGTTAAACTAAAATCAGATAGGTCTGAAGAAAGGAAGAAGGCTCGTTTAGTTGCCAAAGGTTTCACACAGCAAGCAGGCCTTGATTATGAGGAGACTTTCGCTCCAGTTGCTAAATTGGTTACAGTCAAGACATTTTTAGCTGTTGCCTCTCAGTTAAAGTGGTACTTACATCAGTTGGATATTAGCAATGCCTTTCTTCATGGTGATTTGGAGGAAGAAGTGTACATGTTGTTGCCTCCTGGGTATGAGCAGCAGGGGGAAAGTGGGAAACAACTGGTTTGCAAACTAAATGAGTCTATCTATGGGCTTAAACAAGCATCAAGACAATGGAATGCCAAACTCACTTCATACATTCTGTCACAGGGGTTTGTGCAATCAAAGGCTGATT